GCATGATGGAACCAGATCTCTCTCTCTCTCTCTCTCTCTCTCTCTCTCTCTCTCTCTCTCTCTCTCCCTTAATAGTGGGTTCATCTTGTCTTGACATTTGGAGAACTTAGACCCACCCACCTAGAGAGAGAGAGACAGGCGTAGAGAGAGATGATTCTTGCATCCTGTGTCCAGTTTCTGAACATCTAAGGCTTCAGTCCTAAGCACACACTGCCACGAACGTGACATTAAAATCCCCATGACATGCCAAGCTCTCATATTAGGCTAAGTCAAAGTGTTTTATATGTTAATGTTTTGTAAACAAACACAAATATTAATACACTAGGGTAGTGCTTTGTGACTTGGCTACAGTCTTGAAGCTGCTGGTTTTGCCTAGGTAAGCAATAATCTCACTTTTAGCACTGGGGGAAACCAGCCAGATGGGTGGGGTATAAATAATAAATCTATTAAATTATTATTATTATTGCCTATTTCACTATGATGAAAAATCTGGGGTGTAATTCATTCGACACATGAACTTTTTCCAGTTAAATGCAATTTAATGTTATATTTCCCAATCCGTACACAGACACGGACCTGGGATCACAAGATTACTGCAGGTTGGAAGTACTATCAAAATCTAAAGTGTCTGTGGCTCCGTAGGTAGGGAGTTTAACTTGGGAGATGTCAGTTCAAGTCTGCCCACAGCCGGAGGGGCCTTGAACAAATTACTGTCGGCCTCAGTTCTTCCATCTGTAGAATGGGAATAATAGTGATCTGGGCTCATATTAGAAAATGCAACCTTGGCCAGCATGCTCTTTGCAACAGTTTCCTTCTTTTGGCTGAGTGGCAGTAAAGTTCCAGGGGCGACACTACTGGGTTCAGAGACTTCTTATGGTCTCTTTGTAATATTTCCTTCATTTATGAACATGCAAGCAGGAGTCTGAGTGGAGGCAAACAGCAGGTACTGCTACATGGAGGCAAATCTGCTACTCCTACCACCAGCTCCCCAGCCTTCAGACAACTCCAGGCAGCCTCCCAAGCACTCATCTCAGCCCCAGCCCTGGAGATGAATGGACCAGTCAGGAAATATCTACAGACTTTGGAAAGCAATGGAAGCTTCCCTTCCAGGGTAAATAGCAGCTTAAGAGTGGGGCAGCATTTTCATCAGCTTGAAGAAATGTTTTTTTTTTAAAAAAAAAAACCCCATCCATCTGATCCTGTTGTGCGGGGGAGCTTGGAAGTTGCATTAAATAAACAAATAAATCTTGAACTGTTAATTGCAGTTAATACCAGGTCTAATTCGGTCTTAAAGCTATTTTGCATCAAATCCCAGATTCTCATCCAAAGTCAGTTTAAGCAAAACTATAGGGATTGATTATTACAAATGAGCCCAACAGCAAATTCACAACAGTACTTCTAATTTAAACAATAATTTTCTTCTTTTAACCATGCTTGTTCAAATTTGTAGTTCTATTTTTTTGTATTAGGGGAGAAAAATGCTTTCTGGAAGACCTTGTCTCCAATTTCTATCCTGTTTAGTTTTATCCATCTTTCTGTTTTGAAAAAGGAAGGCAGTAACAACAGCATACCTCATGGCGATTGTCTCTCAAATGTATACTGGACCTTCGGTAAAAACACAAAGCAGATTTTGGAATATTGTGCCTTGTCATCTCTCACACACCCCCTTGCAACGCAAGCTCACTTATGCGCTCTCTGTCCTTCCCTCCCCACTCTTCTCCCAAACAGTTATTGCAATTTTGCTTTCTGCTGCATCCATCGCCATGGAGACGTAATGACTCATTTAGGAATTGGAGCGGGTTGTGGCAGGAGGCAGGTGTGGTGCACGATGGGATTGGCCTGGACTCAGCCCACAATAAAACAGATGCGTCCCCACTTCCGACGTTGCTCTTGGGATCCAAAGAGATGCAGAATTTCTGGAGACCACTTGCAGCCCAGCCCCACTCCAGCCCAAGCCCCTCTGTCAACAGCCCACAAGTCCCCACGTCCCTGCCCTGCTCTCCTTGTCAAGCCACAGGCTCCCTGCAGCTGGCTTTGATGCCCCTTCTCTCTTCCAGCCTACAGCAAGCAAGGGCGTGTGAGTGAGTGGATGCTGAGCTCTCCTGGCCTGTTTCCCATTCCGCCTCAAGTTAATGGCTCTGTAAGTAATCCTAGCCTGGCCTGGGGCTCTGGGAGGCATAGCCCACCCCTGGGAGACTGGCTCTCACACTCTCCTAAGTGGGATGAATTACTTATGGTTGAATCCATTACCTCTTATGCTGCTGTTGTGTCTTTTGGTCTCCCACACAGCTTTCTTCGAACTGCCTGACATCGCTTCCCCGCAGCCAACCCCTCGAATGCTCTTCCGTGGGTGATGATGGCACAGCTACCCTGTGAGGTGGGGGAAATAATTATCCTGAGAACTCCATTGTCAAATGCTGTCACACAGTTCCTTTTGGGCGACTGTTTTGATCAGGGCCTACGGTTGCCAACTTCTCTTTTTTAAAACCACTCTCTGCTCCTGTATCTTGAAACAGTTGCTTGATCTAAAGCAATTTGGACAATGGGAAGGTACCTTATACTGAGTCAGACGATTGGTCTATTTATCTTAGTGCTGCCTGCACCAGCCATCCCCAGATGGTTCCCTTCTTTTATAATATACAGTTATTGATTCACAAGGGTTCACCTGAGCTTAGGTTACCAATGGATGCGGCTTAGCAGGCTCTCAGCAGGTTCTGCCACCTTTTCCCTCTCTCTTTGTGCTTCCTGGAACAAGCAAGAAGCCATGCGACCTGGGCTCCCTGCAAGTCAGCTGAATCTCCCTAAAATGAGATTTTTATAGCATGCATCCTTGCTATCCAACGTGTATTGGATTATTGTAATGTCAACATGTAGAGACTTGTTTGATACTTCTGGAAATGCTGTGAGTAAAATATTCATTTATTTGCGAGGTGTCTGTGATTTATTCTAGCCTAAGTATTTCCATGGGGAACATTTGTTTAAAGGTGGATGAGGGCAGATGTAGAATCTAACCAAGTTTTAATGTGCTTAGAACAATCGCCATTGTGTTAACTCGGCTATGAGAGAGTAAGAGCTCTCTTCCATACCTCTTTTTCCAACACTCTCCAGATGTTTGGGGCTACAGTTTTCATCATCTCTGACCAGTGGGTGTGCTGGCTGAGGATTGTTGGTCATAATCCAAAGTCAGCTAAATGAGGAATCCTGCACAAAACAGCAGTGCCAGCTATCCCCAAAGCATCTGTCTCCCAGAACTGAAGAACAGGGCCAGATTCAGAGGGTGGCAAGGCTGGGCATTTGCCTGAACCCCAAAAACAACAGGTGTCCATCCCACCACAGCAGGGCTTCCATTTTGCACAGAATAGCCAAGAAGATCAGATGCAGGCAAAGAGCATTCTCAGTGTTCACATCCCTCCTCTTACGGGCTAGGGAGGTCCACTGAGGTTGCCACACTTGATGGATCCCCAAATCCTGGAGCCAGCACTGTTGGGTAATAATAACTCTGAATAATAATAACTCTCTGGGGAAATATGGATAAATTCCTGGAGAACATGCTTGTTCCTCCAGGCAGTGCACTGATCATTTCCCCCCTCTTTAAGTCCACCTCCCTGTTTGCATCTTCCTGCCCCTCAAAGCACAGACTTTTGTTTTCCTGATTCCTTGCCCTTGCCCTCTGCTGGTAAGCAATAATTTCTTACCTTTTATTACTATTAAAAAAATGTTGATGCTGTGGCCCACATGGAAACGGAAGGCCACGTCTTTCACTGAGAGCAACAGAACCAGCCAAGGGCCTCAGCTCATGCGCGTAGCTTTGTTTGAGGTGAGAGCCAGCTGGCTGCTATCAGGGCCACCCAAGAGACAAGGTGAGGCAGGGTCCACCGAGACAGCAAACCCCAATGTCGACCTTTCCCTCACCACCCCACCTTCTTCCTGATGTAGATCTTCCCTCGCCGCTTCTTCTCTGGCGGGCAGGAGGGCGCCATTTTGAGGTCCACCTCAGGTGCCAAAATGTCTTGGGCCAGGCTGGGCTGCTATGCAACCATTTGGTTTAGCAGCATGGAATGCCCAGAAGCAGAAAACGTCAAATGCAGACAGGAAACCCTTTTAAGCCCCAGGGCCGCATTCTCTTCTGAGCAGCCTTCTAGGGGCCACATGCCAGTGGTGGGAGGGGCCAGAGGCAGAAGTGGGTGGGGCAATGAATCAAAATTTGCCCTTTGTACAGTGGGCGAGGGGTGTGGTTGGAGGGGGGAGTGGCTTTGCGAGAGGCAGTGTGGCCTTGGGAGAGTCCTGAGGGGGGCCAAATCGAGAGATTTGGAAGGATGCATTTAACCCTGGCTGTGAGGTTCTCCATTCCTGTAATAATAGATGCGGGATGCCTGAAAAGAAAGGTGGAAGCCAGAAAGCCGCAGAGAGCTATTATATAAAAAGATCCACTGATCTACAATTTTATTTTATTTTTAAGTTTTAGGTCCCATATGAAAATACTGTAGTAATTTTGGGAGCTCATTTGGGAGCGGAAATAATACGGATACGCTACATTTCCTACTAAATGTTCCAAGTGTTTCACGTCATTGTAATCATCACATTATTATCCCCAGACTGTGGAGTAGGGAAATAGTCACATGACTGGGGCTACTCAGTGTGCAGGGCTGACCCAAGACATTCTGGCCCCTGAGGTGTATCCCAAATGGCACCCCTCTCTCCACCAGGAAACAAGGTGAAATATACTCAGAGTCGCAAAGTGATTTCATGCTAGGCTACCACTACCGGAAACAGGCCCCGACCCAGCACCTGCACAAGAGGTTATGAGCCTGGAGCTGCTTCCCGACCGCCCCAATCAGACTGCTGCATTCTGAATCCTATTTTTCTAGGACCAATCAGACTGCTGCATTTTGGATCCTATTGTTCTAGGACCAGACTGCTGCAGTTTGGATCCTATTGTTCTAGGACCAATCAGACTGCTGCAGTTTGGATCCTATTCAACTCAGTACATAACACAAGGGGTGAGGGAAGATCTCCATCAGGAACAAGGGCAAGGGGAGAAAGATCTGCATTGGGATTCTGCTGTCTGAGGCAGTCACCTCACCTTGCCTAATGAGTGGGCTGGCCTTGCCAGTGAATTCAGGGTGTGGTTAGACTTGAACAGTGAGTCGTCATCGTCAACCTCAGTAATATTCTTACCAGGGCAACCCCAATTATTGGTAAAAGCCCCTGCTAAAGATGGCAGAATCGTAGTAATTCTTGTGGGGGATACAGTCTCTCTCTTCACCCTGAGGACAATAGAATGGGGACAGTAGTGCCAGCCCATTTCTTTCTTCAACTCATTCAGTACAAGTGACTGAATAGACTTCATTTTCACAAACTGGTACGTTCCCTTCCTTTTGCTTCACAGTGGCCAGAGCTCCCGACAACGACTGGGGTGACTCGGTTTCAAATCTGTACCGTCTCTTGGCCAAACCTACCTTACAAGGTTGTTCTGAGGACAAAACGGGGTGGAAGGGGCAAAAACCACGATTGCTGCCCTGTGCCCCTCAAAGCACAGGCAAGGAGAGACTGTAACAAATCAATAATACTAGGCATGGGTAGGCAAACTAAATCTGGCCCACGGACGGTCCGGGAATCAGCATGTTTTTACATGAGCAGAATGTGTCCTTTTATTTAAAATGCATCTCTGGGTTATTTGTGGGCATAGGAATTCGTTCTTTTTTTTCTTTTCAAAATATAGTCTGGCCCCCCACAACGTCTGAGTGACAGTGGATCGGCCCCCTGCTGGAAAAGTTTGCTGACCCCTGATACTAGGGAACATAAAAAGGGTCTGCAAATTGGGAACAGGCTTAAGAAGAAAACCCAGTTCTCCCCTAAGACACAGCAAGATGCAAAACTTGTTCTGCCTCGGGCAACAAAATGGCTTGGGAGGATTATATTCTGTAGCAGGAGAATATATATATGGAGGTGCAGCTGCTTCTTCTGGAGGGGGGGCAGCTGTTTATTATGCCAGGCGCTGATCAGTGTTAGTGGCCCCTTGGGTGGAGCAGCTTCTGGCCTGGTGGCATTTCGTGTAGAGATAAAACGGCTCTCTCAAATTGAATTTAGCCCACCCACTCCCTGGACCCCAGCCCAGGCAGGCGCAGGGGAGTGGCTATTTTGTGTGATAGCCTCGGCTATTTTGTTTCCCTCCCCAGCTATCGGGCTGAGCTACAGTCAGGATGTTATGACGACAGACAGACAAGCTGGAGCATCAGCCAGCCCAGAATGGACCGAGTGTGAAAGGCAGGCGGAGAGGGCAGCCTGTGCCAAACGGCAAGTGTGTTTGGCGTGGCCAAGTGCTGTGGAGGAGTGAGAAGGGAACCCGGGGTCCATTCCTGTCCTCTGAGCTGCTTGCAGGTAAATCAAGGCTTTGCTGGCACCCAGATTCTCTCAACACCTATCGCCCTCCTAATACCCGGTTCTGTTGTACTTAATTGTGACATTTTCCTGTATGATTGTGATCCTGGCAGCTCTTTCCAGAAGGCTTCCCTGCATGCCTTTTGACAGGAGTCTGGAAGTTTATCTCTTGTGGTGGGGTATTCCTTCTGCATGCCATTTAGCATGTCACTAATCTTTGCATGAAAGCGATGTATTCTTTTATTATTTAGTCAGCGTTTTGCAAGGTACTTGTGGTCTCTGCACAATCTGCCTTCTTGAATGGCACTCCAGAATCTTCCTGCTCAAACAGCTTGCTTTAAAAGAGTCATTTATCTCACCTCGGGAGCAAAGCCATCTCTGCTTGTACCATTACTTGCTGCACCGGAGGATTAGGGCTCCCCGGTTCAATCACTGACATCTCCAGTTGGAGCTGGGAGAGCCTGAAACAATGGAGAGCTGCTGCCAGTCCGAGTTGACAGTATTGGGCTGCATGGACTTGGTATTCGGCAGCTTCATATGCTCCTGGGAAGTGGTTGTAATTACCATGGGCTCATCTAGACGTGTTCTGTGGCGGCGGAGACCAAACCCAAAATACTTGGTTGTGCTGAAGGGGCAGGCAAAACAGCCATTAAACCAAATTATGTTGCTGCAAAGAACCCTGGCAAAATGTATCTCTGTAGGGGGGCAGGGAATACCAGAAGCATGATGTATAACCGTGGTTGAGAAGAGGCCTGCATCTGAAGTTTTTCGGGGGTCTTGGATGTACTGTGAACCCTACTTTAAAAAATAATCAATAATCAATATTGTACTTGCCCTTTTGAAGTTAGAGGTCTATCTTCTCTAAATAGCCCGACACCATCATTTTGTTTGTTAATATTTTCGTTGTTTGCCGTTTCTTCCTTCCCGGTGAATAAAAACAATAAGAAGAAATATCGGCAATGGATCATAGCAATCTGTAGTGCAGCATAATACAGCTAAATTAAATGCAATCTGAACAGCATGAAAAGTGGGAAGGGGGCTTGGTGGAGAGACCTCAATACTAACTTAGAGCAGGGCCTTATGAGAATCTGTGTATGGGAACAAATGGAAATTACGATGGGCTAGGCATTATAAAGAGTTAAGATATGCACACCATCATGCATTTAAAGCCCACACCAAAAATCTGGGAACTGTAGTTGGGTATGGGTGTTGTGAATTGTAATTGTGTGAGGGGGAACTATAGTTTCCAGGAGTCTTTTGGGAGAAGTCACGTGCTTTAAGTGTTTGGTGTGCATTGTTGTGCTGCCCAGTCTCCGGACGGTGAGCCCATAAGAAGGGGTATAGATTGGCTCTATAATATAAAAAGTGCCATTTTGCATGGCTGAATGTGGCACAAATGTTCAGCAACCATCCACTTCACTGTGACTGGATTTTGACTCCATATCCTTAACCAGAAAGGCAGCAGCTCCCTTGCTGCTATACGATGAGCCATTTCTGTCTGTGGATGGAAATACAGAAACCTGGAGCGCAAGTCAGATCTGGACACTTTTCATTGATTTCGATGGGAGAGTTGAACACCTGCTGCTCGGGCAGCGTACTGGTTAGCATAGCCAATTTTTCCCCTCTCTCACCCCCCAGCTTATGTGCTATGAAAGCTGACACGACAACCCTGTAGAATGTAGCAGGTAACTCTTCACTCCCATCTCTGTATCTCCATGTTGGGAAAAAGATTCTCCTATTGAATTCCTGCTGGTCATTCATCGGTTAAAGGCGCAGAACCCTAGCAGGAAGAAATAGCGTTTCAGACCGTCCAAGTGTCCCTATTTTTCAGGGACAGTCTCAGATTTACAGAAGCTGTCCCAGTTTCTGTTTTGATCCCAGAATGTCCCGCTTTTCCTTAAAAGGTAAAGGGACCCCTGACCATTAGGTCCAGTTGTGGCCGACTCTGGGATTGCGGCGCTCATCTTGCTTTATTGGCCAAGGGAGCCGGCGTACAGCTTCCGGGTCATTTGGCCAGCATGACTAAGCCGCTTCTGGGGAACCAGAGCAGCGCATCGAAATGCCGTTTACCTTCCCGCTGGAGTGGTACCTATTTATCTACTTGCACTTTGACGTGCTTTCAAACTGCTAGGTTGGCAGGAGCTGGGACCGAGCAACGGGAGCTCACCCCGTCGTGGGGATTCGAACCGCTGACCTGATTGGCAAGTCCTAGGCTCTGAGGTTTAACCCACAGCGCCACCCGCGTCCCTTTAGGACATCTCTATTTTCACTGAAGAAATGTTGAAGGGGATGGAGTTCTGCGACCCCTGATCCAAGGAGTTAAGTAACTATACAACCTTTAGAAGACATCTGAAAGCAGCCCTGTACAGGGAAGTTTTTTTTAAAAAATATTTAATGTTTTACAGTGGTACCTCGGGTTACAGACGCTTCAGGTTACAGACACTTCAGGTTACAGACTCCGCTAACCGAGAAATATTACCTCAGGTTAAGAACTTTGCTTCAGGATGAGAACAGAAATCATGCGGTGGCAGCAGCAGGAGGCCCCATTAGCTAAAGTGGTACCTCAGGTTAAGAACAGTTTCAGGTTAAGAACAGACCTCCGGAACGAATTAAGTTCATAACTCGAGGTACCACTGTATTATGTTTTTTACATCTGTTGGAAGCTGCCCAGAGTTGCTAGGGCAACCCAGTCAGATGTGTGGGGTGTAAATATTAGTAGCAGTAGTAGTAGTAGTAGTAGTAACGACATCTCTATTTTCATTAGAGAAATGTTGGAGGGTATGTGATGCGCCTGGGCTCCAGCCCACTGACGCTATGATGCCCTCCCTGCCTGAAAACCCTGGAGTCCGGGGCCCCCTCCCGCCTTCTACGGTTTTGTTCCTGCTGTTTTGCCTTCCTCTGTTATTCTAGCCCCAGTGGGGTGGGAGGTTAATGGGCCTGTTGTTTCCTGTTTCCCCCTCCCAGGGCTTTGAACTGACTGGATTGGTTGGGGAGGATTGGCGAGAGCTCAGGAAGCGGCATCCCAGCAGCAGCCTCCCCTCTGAGCCCCTCCTGTCTTTCATCTCTGCCCCAGTTCGGCTCCCCGCCGCACACGTACAGCCTGATCCTATAACCCAGTTAAATGGAAATACATGCCAAACTCACTTGAAGTTGACTTTGACCGGGCTCATCAGTAGGCTTCTGCTCAAAAATGCTTGGCCTCAACTGCCACTGGCTGTTAGGGCTAATATCATATCCCTTTTCCGGTTTCATATCAGCGGTGGATATTTGGCCAGGCCGATCCATCATCCTAGAAAAAGGAAAGCCAAACTCTTCCCCACCCCCGGCGCACCTCCAGTCTTTCAGGGGCAGCTGACTGACCCCTTCAAAGGCACCGACTGTTTTTGTGAGGGTCTAATTTTTATGACGTTGTCTGTCCTCCAGTACAACAGCCAAGTTGAAATGTGATGCAGTGAGCTGCTCTTCTGGACTCTCCCTTTTCTCTCAAGATAAGGCCACATCCACACCATACATTTAAAAGCACCATTATACCACACACATGGGACTACAGTCATACCTCAGGTTACAGATGCTTCAGGTTGCGTTTTTTCGGGTTACGGACATGCTGAAATCCGGAAATACAGTGGTACCTCAGGTTAAGTACTTAATTCGTTCCAGAGGTCCATACTTAACCTGAAACTGTTCTTAACTTGAAGCACCACTTTAGCTAATGGTGGCCTCCTGCTGCCGCCGCGCCGCCGGAGTACGATTTCTGTTCTCATCCTGAAGCAAAGTTCTTAACCTGAAGCACTATTTCTGGGTTCGCGGAGTCTGTAACCTGAAGCGTATGTAACCCGAGGTACCACTGTACTGGAACGGGTTACTTCCGGGTTTCGGCGGTCGAGCATGCGCAGAAGCGCTAAATCACGCTTTGCGCATGCCAGAAGCGCCAAATTGCAACCCGCGCATGCGCAGACACGGTGCTGTGGGTTGCGAATGCTGCGGGTTGCAAACATGCCTCCCTCACGGATCACGTTCGCAACCCAAGCATCCACTGTATACAGCTGCAAATATAACGTTTTAAATCTGTTTTAAGTGCATTATACAAATGTGACACTAGATGGTGATGGTGAGCTTATGGCAAAATCAATATATTTTTCAAAACTTTTTTTTTAAAAAAAAACATATTCACAGCATTTTTATGTGTCTAGATTTCATCATGGATTTCCCCAGAGACTCCTCAGAGAGTGCTGAGGGAGCTGGCAGCTGTTAGGACAAGGTGGTCCAAAGCATGGCCCTTGAGGCCATTTTTGGTGGCCCTCAGCAACATTGGGCACCCCCTTTTGCCCTGCCTTCCCAGAGCTAGGAATGCAAGGTGCTGGGCTTTAGGAAGGAGGTGTGAGGGCTCTGACAAGGTCCTTCCCACCTCCTTCCCAAAGCCTAGTTAGTGCTTTCCCAGCTTTGGGAAGGAGGTAGGTAGGAGGGCTCTAGGATCCTGCCAGTGCCTTGTGCCTCCTTGCCAAAGCTCCTTGCTTACATACCCTCCAACATTTCTCTGATGGAAATAGGGACGTCCCATTCCATAATGATAATTTTACTATTTATACCCCACATGTCTTACTGGGTTGCTCCAGCCATTCTGGGTGGCTTCCAACATATATAAAAACACAATAAAACATTAAACATTAAGAAAACTTCCCTATACACAGGATTGCCTTCAGACGGCTTGGGGGTCAGATAACTCCATACCCTCCAACACTTCTCCAATGAAAATAGGGACATCCTAAGGAAAAGCGGGACAAATCAGAAACTGGGACGGCTTCTCTAAATCAGGAATGTCCCTGGAAAATAGGGACACTTGGAGAGTCTGGCTTCGGCAGCTTTGAGAAGGCAGCGGGAGGGCTGGGTGAGTGTGTCAAATTCTGGCCTCACTCCCAGCACAGGTTCCATGTTGAAGTACTTTTACAGCCTACTTGGTATGAAAAGATGTTTTTGGAGATCTCTATTCCCCTAACAGAGCAACAATTCCCAAAGTGGTTTAACAGTCAAAGTTAACCATTCTGGCTTAAATTATTGCTTTCATTCATTCATTCATTCATTCAACGTACTACTTCTTTCTTTCTTTCTTTCTTTCTTTCTTTCTTTCTTTCTTTCTTTCTTTCTTTCTACAAAAGTAACACAAAGGGACTTAAATGAAGTCATAGTTCCACTCCTCCCGCCCTCTGATGTTCTGATGATGTTCTGATCATGGCAAGTCCATAAGAAATTATTACCTACTTCCCCCCATGGCAGCCAAAGGCATCATCAGTGATAATATACGGCTGATCAGCTGTACTATGATGCAGACCTGAGAAGAAGAGGGAACGACAGGAAGAACAATGGTTCTAAATTACAAAATGCCTTCTGCTTGGTAGCATAGCGGGCAATGGGTGGTATTAAACAAGATGGTTGTGCTAGTGCAAGGATTAGTACTGGCACAACAGGATTTCCCCCTCTCCCTCTACACACCTCTGTGTGTCCCACACTGTCCCCAAATCTGCTCTGGAGGCTTTTGGGGAAACAGATTCAGGGGGTGCACAGGAGGAGAGGAAGATCATTCTGTTGTGCAAGCAGAAATCTGTGTGCTGATGGAACCATCTTCTTAATGCGATGCTGAATACAACTCAGTTTCAGGGGATCTGCTATCTACAAGCCTAAGAACAATAATACCTATGGGAAGGACTGATGTGTAGGGTCATGGAGGATGAGAACATTTCTAGTAGACCACATGTCAAGAGTTCAAAGCACATCACATGAATCATTTCAGCAGTCCTTCTGATGAAATAGATTGACAGTGTTCTGCCTCCCATTTGCTTCATTTTAGGGAGGGAGGAAGGTGGCTGTGTTGGTTTGCAGAGGCCAAAACTATTATTCACGTCAGCTGACCACATTGCAGGAGTCAAAACTGGTAAGAGTTCCCAATGAAGAGGGAGTCTATATGCTATAGGGTATCAGGGGTCAGCAAACTTTTTCAGGTCCACTGTCCATCAGACCATGTGGGGGGCCGGACTATATTTTGAGGGGGGGGGAATGAACAAATTCCTATGCCCCACAAACAACCCAGAGATGCTTTTTAAATAAAAGCACACATTCTACTCATGTAAAAACACGCTGATTCCTGGACTGTTCGCAGGCCGGATTTAGAAGGCGATTCGGCCGGATCCGGCTCCTGGGCCTTAGATTGCCTACCCATGGTCTATATGTTATTTAGACATCACTTAAAAAGAGGAAGAAATGTATCACTATAGAAGAAGATGCAGAGTTGCAGAGAATTTGCTTGTGCCAGCATATTACATAGATGCCCATTTAGAAATACTTACTGTAATTTCTCTGGAAATGCATCTCACCATAGTTGGGAAGACTGCAGCCAGGTGAGCTGTGTTTCTTCTCAGTCTGCTGGTCAGAATGCCCCACATCTGAAATAGAGGACTGACCTCTGTACGGCATGGCCAGCCTTGTGACTATAAGTGTTGTAGACCCATCAACAAAGTAGAGGAGGGTGGAGACCATTTGGAACTAAGCATAATACCATGTGGGACTTAACTCCTATGCGATTTCCAACTTCTCCTGTTCCTAATTTTAGTTCCCAGATGTCAGCTGTCAACTCAGGCGTCCCTATCAGGCCTGATGGAACAAAGACAGAATCCAGAAGGGACACTGGGGATGCTACAAAAATCACCCCTCATTCAGGTGAGTAACCTGATCATTTAATTCAATATGAATTCTTCTGGGTTACAGGTAAGCCAAATGGGCTATTCAGCCTTGCCCCCGGCTCCATGCATCTAGAGCAGTCTCCCTGGGTCAATTGTTGCTGCTAACTACAGCAAGAGATACAGTGGTGCCTCGCAAGACGAAATTAATTCGTTCCGCAAGTTTTTTCTTCTTGCGAGTTTTTCGTCTTGCGATGCACGGTTTCCCATAGGAATGCATTGAAAATCAATTAATGCGTTCCTAGGGAACCGACTTCAGACCAGGTCCGGGGACAGTCTGTCCCCCGACCTCTTCTGAAGGCTGGGGGGGACAAGGGCTTTTCTTCCCACCCACCCCAGCATTTTAAAACCCCGGGACAGCGGAGGGCTTCTCCGCTGTCCGGGCGATCTTAAAATGCTGGCGGGCGGCATTTAAAATTGCCCGGGACAGCGGAGGACTTCTCCGCTGTCCGGGGCAATTAAAGCCCCTGGGAAGGCAGGCAGGGGGACAAAGACTTTTGCCCCCGCCAGCCTTCAGAAGAGGTCCTGGACCTCTTCTGAAGGTTGGCGGGGCGAAGTCTTGTCCCCCACCTGCCTTCAAAGCTGTCCAGCCAAGGCTTCGCGGACCTCTCCGCAAGCAGCGGCAGCACTGCCGCTGCTTGCGGAGAGTTGCCGGCATGCCGAAGCCTGCGCGCGCTGAGATCAGCGCGCCCAGGCTCCGCGGACCTCTCCGCGAGCAGCGGCAGCGCTGCCGCTGCGTGCGGAGAGTTGCCGGCATGCCGAAGCCTGCCCGCGCTGATATCAGCGCGCCCAGGCGTCGCGGAGCTCTCCGCGCGCAGCGTCCGCGCTGCCGCGGCGTGCGGAGAGTTGCCGGCATGCCGAAGCCTGCGCGCGCTGAGATCAGCGCGCCCAGGCTCCGCGGACCTCTCCGCGAGCAGCGGCAGCGCTGCCGCTGCTTGCGGAGAGTTGCCGGCATGCCGAAGCCTGCGCGCGCTGAGATCAGCGCGCCCAGGCTTCGCGGACCTCTCCGCGAGCAGCGGCAGTGCTGCCGCTGCTTGCGGAGAGTTGCCGGCATGCCGAAGCCTGCGCGCGCTGAGATCAGCGCGCCCAGGCTTCGCGGACCTCTCCGCGAGCAGCGGCAGCGCTGCCGCTGCTTGCGGAGAGTGGCCGGCATGCCGAAGCCTGCGCGCGCTGAGATCAGCGCGCCCAGGCTTCGCGGACCTCTCCTGCCTTCAAAAGCCGTCCGGGATAGCGAGAAGCGCTTCCCTGCTATCCCGGACTGCTTTTAAAATGCTGGCGGTGGGGATCAATGCCTTTCGGCCCCCGCCAGCGTTCCTGTACCTCTTCTGAAGGCCGGAGGGGAAGGCTTTGCTCCCCACCGCTAGCATTTAAAAGAGGTCCCGGAGATTTCCCTATGGGCTTTCGTCTTGCGAAGCAAGCCCATAGGGAAATTCGTTTTGCGAAGCGCCTCCAAAACGGAAAACCCTTTCGTCTAGCGGGTTTTCCGTCTTGCGAGGCGTTCGTCTTGCGGGGCACCACTGTATTGGTGAGCAACAGAAATGGGGGTGCAGGGCAACTTTCCTTAGGAGGAACTGGCCCAGCTCACGATGTTCCAAGCAGCTGCATGCCTTGTACAGTCAGTGTTGCCATGGGGCACTGCCTCACCAAGTGTTAAGTTGTGGGTTGACATAGCAGATGACACAGCGATTTCTCCAAAGCAGCTCTTTATTTTGTAAGCTGGAACAGAACTAACTGAGGAGCTCAGTCAGCCTGCTTATATAGAGCTACAGAACAATTGTAACTGTTGCAACGTTCTAAAACTATCCAATCACTGAACATCACTTTTCGATCCTTCATTTGCATACAAAACTATCCAATCACTGAACGTCACTTTTCGATCCTTCATTTGCATACGAAACTATCCAATCACTGAACGTCACTTTTCGATCCTTCATTTGCATAACTATCTACAGTATCCCCCTGCTGGCCCAGGGTGAGGACTTCAGTCCTCCAAGCACAGCCTGCTCTCAGCTAGCCCCCCTCTGCAGAGGCGGAGGAAGGGGGGAGTGGTGTGTGTGGGTCGCCCTGGGTGTCAACACTGAGGGGGGGTGGCAAAATGCCAGGCAGCACTCACTGTGGGGCCTGCAGTACGCCCAAGTAACGCGTCTCTCCTGGGAGCGCATTGCAATAGTCCAAGCGAGAGATAACCAGAGCATGCACCACTCTGGCAAGACGGTCTGCAGTCAGATAGGGTCTCAGCCTGCATACCAGATGGAGCTGATAAACAGCTGCCCTGGACACAGAATTGACCTGCGCCTCCATGGACAGCTGTGTATATATAATTTTTATTAATTTTCCATTTAATATTATACATTCACATCATCATTATCCACTTTACCGCTTTGGCTCTTTAGAGCCTATCAATTTCCCTCCCGACGCACGGCTTTCAAAATTAACCTTTATATCACTGCATTTTGCACGTTTTCCAATTCTAATTACACTCATTACTAAATAGCTCAAAATTTAAATGAAAATAGAAAGATAGAAAATTTTTCATTACAAGTCTTCAGACAACCCTGCTAGTGATGTTAATTGCTTACAGTAATCTTTCACATATCATATAAATTTACTCCAGTCCTTTTGGAATACTTGATCATGCTGCTTTCGGATTTTTCCTGTCAGCTTTTCCAGTTCTGCAAAGTCCATTGAAATATACTCGGAGTCCAGTGTGGATTTCATTCTCTTTATTCAGCTCATAGTAGTGAGGAATGAAAGTTCACCCAAAATATCTGCTTTATATACATTATTTACACAATGGGCCGCACATGATTGGCCAATTCCTGGATTCTCCTGTAGGCCAATCAGGTTGCGGATTCACTTCCACCTGGAGCTGGATTGGGTGGCTCCTGTGGACCAATCATACTGCTGCATTGTTCTAGGACCAATCAGACTGCTGCATTCTGAATCCTATTGTTCTAGGACCAATCAGATTGCTGTATTTGGATCCTATTCAACTCAGTACATAACATCCATCATCTTCATCTACCACTAGGGCTGCACTGTTCTCACTCACCCCACAGGCAAAGCCACGCAGGGTCTCTGTTGTAGAGCTATGTTGTGCTTGCACCTTCCTCCAGCTACTACTTAGCAATGTTGTTGCTATTGAAGCTGGTGGCACTAATATCTCGAAAGGCAATTTGAGGATCTAAAGCTACGATTTGTTATTTGATGAGATTCGGCACAGAAGCAAATCTTTTCTTTTTAAATAAAAAACCCTGAAATTGTAATTAAAGTTAATTTAAAAGGGGCAATTAGACTTCCATTAAGTGCCTTTTAATTCAATTTTTAAATTTTGGCTTTTACTATGTATGGAGCGATTAATTGGATCTTTGCATTATTCATTTAAAAGTATGAAAGCTATTATTTTAAAGTTTCACATGCTCTCAGTAAGGGCACAATTTTCGTAACTAGGAAGGCTGCATTCAGCTCTCAAGGAGAGTTGCTGGATAGAGAGTTGAGCTGAGTCAAGCGAGTGTGGACCTAATTGCGCTCCCATGGGGGAGCATCAACAGCGCAAAAGGCACTTTGCCAATTGCCATGTGCAATGCCTGGTGTTATTGCTGCAGACAAAATGCGTCTGCTTCCCACTCTGAGATTTAGAGTCCCTCTGAGATTTTGGGCACTTCCAGACTCACTATTTTCAGGTGGGATTCAGTCACATACCAGAAAATTCAGACTGCACAATTAAAGTTGATTTGATGCTCTTGCACAGCAAACCTATTCTCTGCAGAAAGTGTAAGATAACATCTGCTTGAATGCGATGGTCCCTGCATATAAATCAGAACGAACGCTCAATAAATAACTAATGTTGCCTAATCTCCTGACAAACAAATTGGGAGGAGTGCTCAATAAACAAGTTCTGTGGATGTGACCTTAGCCCAGGGGTCGGCAAGGTTTTCATGAAGCCGCTGGGAGAGATCATCAGGGGTTTGGCCTGGGTGTCCATCAATATGCAGATGATACCCAGCTCTACCTCTCTTTCACATCAGAACCAGTGAAGGCGGTGAAGGTCCTGTGTGAGTGTCTGGAGGTGGTTGGAGGATGGATGGCGGCTAATGGATTGAGGTGGAATCATGACAAGACAGAAGTACTGTTTTGGGGGGGCAGGGGGCGGGTGGGTGTGGAGGACTCCCTGGTCCTGAATGGGGTATCTGTGCCCCTGAAGGACCAGGTGCACAGCCTGGGAGTCATTTTGGACTCACAGCTGTCCATGGAGGCACAGGTCAATTCTGTATCCAGGGCAGCTGTCTACCAGCTCCCTCTGGTACACAGGCTGAGACCCTATCTGCCTGCAGACTGTCTCACCAGAGTGGTGCATGCTCTACTTATCTCTTGCTTGGACTACTGCAATGCGCTCTATGTGGGGCTACCCTTGAAGGTGACCCGAAAACTACAACTAATCCAGAATGCGGCAGCTAGACTGGTGACTGGGGGCGGCGGCCGATACCACATAACACTGGTCTTTGTTTAGTCATGTCCGACTCTTAGTGGTGAGGCTCAAAAGCCTTCGTTTGTATTTAGTCAAGAAGGGAAAACTACCTACCTACTGAATAGTGTTTGCGCAGGGTTTTTGTGTCAGCACCATGTGGGTAGGTCCTTAAGCAACCTCATCTTATGTTGTTGGCGTCATTGTGACTGAATTTTCCAAAAAAACCCAAATACAAATAAAGGCAAACAATACAAACTAAAAATAAGTAAATAAAGGGGAAATTACCCCCTCCCATGGCCATGTATTCCCAGAGCATTTTTGTGGTTGCTTTACCTCATAATAATTAGCAGTCTAAGTGGTCCTGAAGAATAACCACATAGTCGAAAGCGCAGGCGAGTGGGTTGAGCCCTTCCTCTGCCCACTCTTCCCTCAGAGACACTTCCTTTCCCTCCCATCCTTTCCTAAATGATGTGCGTTCCAGGGCTGTGAAAACAAGATTAGGCGGCATGCAGTGCTATCCTAGGCATGTCCACTCAGAGGTAAGTCCTGCTACGTTCAGTGGGACTTACAGGTATATGTGTATAGTGTGGGATGTGAAACACAAGAGCAGTCAAGTACAACATTTGCCAAAATTTGTGCTTCTGACATGGGCTGCCATATGTCCAGATTTTCCTGAACATTTCAACGTGTCACCCCCCCCCCCCCCGTTTAAGAGGGCAGAATACTGTATTGGCTATGTCTGGGAAATTCTGGACGTAGGGCAACCCTAATTTAGGAGCCATTTTGGCATATAAGCTGTATATAAATCAATAAATAAACAATAACCATTCCTTTTTTCAATTTCCAGAGCATGAGGAATCATTTGGAAACGCCTCTTTCCCTGAAAACCAGAGATACTCGCCTGGGGAGTTTAATTCCAGTGAAGATTTCTCCCTCATTCCTTCTGCCCAGATACCAAAGAAAGCAGAAAATGGTAAGATTAAAGTGGGGGGGGGGGAGTGGAGAGAGAGTTCATAAGCAGAGGAAGCTAAGAGCCTAAATAGAGATCTTGGTTTTATTAGATTATGGTAATGGTCTGTAATCCCCCTGCTGCCCCATTATTTATTTACTGTAGCCCTTTATGTATTGATCAAGCCACACGCATTGAGTCTCTGCACACAGAAGCTGTACAGTTGCTTGCAGACTCTGCCCTCGGGGGTCTGTCCCCAGGGGACAAGGATCCCAATTCCATCGCCCCATTGATTCTTCGTGCTTTGAGAAGTCTGCCTGGGGCTAAAGTCTGTTGTGGTATATGGTATCGGTGTGGCAATGATGAGGCAGGCAGAGAAGGGGAGGAGCCTGGCATGGCCGCAGCCTGCAAAAGGATCGCCATCTTTGGCACCTCTGGCATGACCAGCCTGGCCACCCTGTGCAAGCCATCAAGGTTGGGGTCCGGGTTCTGGTGCTGGTGCGTGACCCAATCTGGCTTCTGTTGCAGGAATTTATGTACAGTGGGACCTCGGGTTAAGAACTTAATTCGTTCCAGAGGTCCGTTCTTAACCTGAAACTGTTCTTAACCTGAAGCATCACTTTAGCTAATGGGGCCTCCTGCTGCCACCGCTGTTGTGCGATTTCTGTTCTCAACCTGAAGCAAAGTTCTTAACCAGAGGTACTATTTCTGAGTTAGCGGTTTCAGTAACCTGAAGCGTCTGTAACCTGAAGCTTCTTTAACCTGAGGTACCACTGTATGGAAGGGACGCGGGTGGCGCTGTGGGTTAAACCACAGAGCCTAGGACTTGCCAATCAAAAGGTCAGCGGTTTGAATCCCCACAACGGGGTGAGCTCCCATTGCTCGGTCCCAGCTCCTGCCAACCTAGCAGTTAGAAAGCACGCAAAAGTGCAAGTAGATAAATAGGTACTGCTCCGGTGGGAAGGTAAACGGCGTTTCCGTGCGCTGCTCTGGTTCGCCAGAAGCGGCTTAGTCATGCTGGCCACATGACCCGGAAGCTGTACGTCGGCTCCCTCGGCCAATAAAGTGAGATGAGCGTCGCAACCCCAGAGTTGGCCATGATTGGACCTGATGGTCAGGGGTCCCTTTACCTTTACTAGCTTTTTAAAAAAGTAAATAGCCACCACAGCATGGGGAGATGAGAAGGATCGGAACCACAGTGTGCAAGGAGGAGGTTTAACCATTGCCCTCCGTCAACGGTGCCGGCAAAAGTTGCCCCCTTCTAAAACTGCTGTTGGCAATTTGCGAGGGAAGAGTTATTATTCTTGCAGCGTAAGCTTTCGCAGACTAGAACCCGCTTCACCCAGTGCCAACGTTGCACCTGCTGGCTTCAGGTTACCTTTCCCTTTCTTTGCAGAACGCCCCCAGTCCGTCATCGCTGGCATCGCCAACTCCTCTTTCCAGCCAGGGAAGGTTGCCTTCCATCCTGCCTACTGCGCCAACGGCTGTGGGCTTCCCCCGGCTTCCGTGAGGCAGCAGCCGCGAGTCTCCAAGAAGCAGCGCATCAGCTCCACCGCCTCCGTCTGCACCAACAGCAGTAAGAAGAGCTGCAAATCCACAGCATCTCAGATCCAGGAGGTGGCTGGAGATGGTGAGTGCATGGGCACTGAGGGTGGGAGGTAGTTTGGGAAGGATGGGTCAATGGATGGGACACCGCAGAAGACTTCGATGGAGAGTAACAGGCTCAAAATAGTGACATTGGGGCTTAGCTGGAGCTCAGTGGTAGGCCATAAGCACTGAGACACTAGCAAAGGGCTTTCTTTAGCCTCTTCCTTTCCAGTGTGAACAATGGGGTACAATGATTATGGGAGAGGGCTGTTGGCCTTGCTGTAAACAAAAATCTGCCCTTTTTTCCCTTATGGGGTATCCAAGAGCCCATATAGAGTCCTTACGTAGGTTCCTTATTGGTAGGAGAAAATAACAGAGGCCAACCAGGGACGATTGAGAAGCAAAACAGCTAGTAAGCTTGATCTTTATTGATCTGTTGCAACAGGGTCCTCACTCACCACACGCAGGAGGGAGGAGGAACCCCAAAGAAAAGGTGTGCCTAAATATAGACATTTTAAATTCCCTGCCCTGGAGCTCAAGACCACCCCTCCATACATCATACATACATCACAGAAGGGGTGTAACCTAAGACTACCCCCCAGATACATTATACCTATATCACAGAAAAGGCGGTCTACAGCAGAATCTGAGTGCCTTGTTTATCTCATCTTACTTGTTACCTGTTTAATGGTCACTTTATTGGATTGCCTGGGGAGCCTGGCCAGTCTTTTGTAATGATAAATACTTAGTTCCTGAGCCAGGTCACAGGCTCACACCCTATTCATATCTTAAATGTGCCCTTAAGACAGGATTTGTAAAGGAAAAGACAGTGGGGAGGCAAGTCAAAAATGGTTTCAGGTCGGTCTTCCTGTGCTGATCTATGTATGTGCTTGGTACACCTATGAACATTTAACATATATCTAAGACCTCAAAATTCCTATCACAGCCTTATGTGCTCTGGCTGGACATTGAGGAGGAAAAGGATGCCTTTGGGTTTAACCCAACGAGGCTATTCCTATGTCCTTCAAGTCTACCTGCCCATACCCCTTCCCTTCTGTGACCATAGGAAAGGTCAGCCAATCACTGCCAGTGACTTTATCACCCGCGCAAGCCCCATCTCATATTATGACACTTTGCGATATTTATTTTGGTTGTATTATTGTAAGACCGGCTTACCAGTATTTTACCTTTAACTTTCTTGATTTGATTTTTGATGAGAATAACAATGCACACTACAAATACAAGCAAGAAGAAGAAGTCCCAACAAAAGAAGAATGGATACAGAAACTTGTGGAATATGCAGAAATGGCAAAACTTACCGGAAAAATAACAAATCGAGAAAACAAACTTTTAAAAAAAGAAATGGAAATGGTTTATTGAATATTTACAAATAAATTGTAAACAGATAAGAATATTGGCAGGATTGTTGTAATAGCCTGAAGTTTTATGAGAGTATCTACCGTATTTTTCCGTGTATAAGACTAGGGTTTTTTTTTTACCAAAAAATTAGATTTAAAATTGGGGCTCATCTTATACACGAGTAGTGCTGAGGGGGGTTTTCTTAATTTGGAGTCCCCAAAAATAGAGGGTGTCTTATACATGGGGGCGTCTTATACACAGAAAAATACGAGATTTAAAGTAGATGAATAAATTAGTAAATTAAGTTAATTTGGATATGCAGGAAATATTAAAAATAAATTTAAAAAACCACAGAAAGAGGGGGAAGGAAGTCAAATTTTGAAATGATTATAAAATTATTGAAATGTATAAAATTGAAAATAATTAATAAAATAATAAAAAAAATACAAATACAAGCGACGTCACACCTTATAAAACTGACTACACTGGCAACAGTGAGGTGTCTTACGTTCCCTAAGAGACCTCCCACCTCTTGTGTACTCTGAAACAGGCAAAAGAGGCTCTGATCATTAGCCAGCTCACCCTGGGAAGCCCAGAGGTTAAAGAGCAAGGCACTCTTTACCCAGGGGAGCAGCTAAGCATGCAATCTCCTTCCCCACTGGTGGCCTTAAGTGGTGCCCTTCCAGCAGGGCTGCACCATGTGACTGTTCTGGCTTCAGAGGCCAACTCTTCAGGCTCGCTGTTGTTGAGTGCCTAATGAGTTTAAAGAGAATCAAGCCAGATGTTTCCCAATTGCCTTTGCACGCCTTAAGATAAAGAGGACTGCAGCGGGGGCCTCGGCTGTCATATGAGCCTGGCCCCCAGCTTCTCAGATGAAATACCAACAAATGTGCATTCCAGCAAATTTTAATGGCAGTTCAGCCACTGGTTTTTCCTCTTGTATGCTTTCCAAAATACGTTTTCCACTTTTTTAATTCACTTGTTGCTTTTAAAAAAGAAAAGAAAGCAAAACTACCCGAGGGGTTGGGGTTCAGAGACAGACAACTTCATGACTGCATACAATAATCCACAGCTAGCTTTTGCTGGAGAAAGGCCTAGCTGGTATTTTCAGGGTCTGACCTAGAGAGGAATGATGCTTTAGAACATGGGTAGGCAAACTAAGGCCCAGGGGCCGGACGCAGCCCAATCGCCTTCTCAATCCGGTGCACAGACGGTTGTGTTTTTACATGAGTGTGTTTTTACATGAGTGTGTTTTTACATGAGTGTGTTTTTACATGAGTAGAATGTGTCCTTTTATTTAAAATGCATCTCTGGGTTATTTGTAGGACCTGCCTGGTGTTTTTACATGAGTAGAATGTGTCCTTTTATTTAAAATGCATCTCTGGGTTATTTGTGGGGCATAGGAATTCATTCATTCCTCCCCTTCAAAATATAGTCTGGCCCCCCACAAGGTCTGAGGACCGGCCCCCTGCTGAAAAAGTTTGCTGACCCCTGCTTTAGAATTACGCTTTGCAGGGGTGTTTCCAAATCAGCCCTCCTATTTGCCTTCACGCTCTCCTTCCTTTCCACAGAGCTGTGTGCCACCCTCCTCTTAGCTTGCCTCTTCTGCCGTTTCTCGGACATCCTGCCTCTCTTCTCCGGGCCCTTCTGCTCTTGCTTCCCTGTGCCATCCTGCAGCTCCAGGCTCCTGGGCTTTTGCTCGGACCCCCAGAGCTGCTGCTGCTGCTGCTGCTGCTGCCGGTTTGAGGAGCCGGCCCTGGAGTTATGCTACCAGACTGGTGACTGTCTAGAACTTGCATTAGAAGTTTCTGAGCTGTGCTATCACTGACTAACCTTGGCTGCCAAAGATGCCTCCTACTAATCTTTACTTCTTCCTGGGATCCTTATGGCAGGTGAGCAAACTTTAATCTGAATAAATTTAAGTCGGATCGGCTTTTTGGTGCCCACTTGTCTTTGCAGGCTTGGGTTGTTTACATTTCCAGGATATTTCTCCAGGCTCTCTCACCTCAGAAGTGCCTATGGCTTCTGTGCTATGGATTTTAATTTATTTTAATAAACACTTTTTTTTTTTAAAATGACCTTTTCTTAAATAAGTCCCCGTCCCCCAGAGAGCTGTGTTACTGAATATAGTTGATATATTAATCTCTGTTAGCTGTTTTAATTAGCCTTTTAAACAACTGTTCTTGCTGCAGCCTTGTCAGTTTTGATTCTTGTTAGATTGTTCATTGCATGACTTGCCTCGGTGGCATATAGATGATTGAATAATAACTAGTTGCGCAGTATCTACATTGACTCTAACCCAGCCTGGTTGACACATCCCTGGCTCCAGAGGCAGGCATGGCCGAGCGTTTGCCGGGGCCTCAAGGCTGCCCAAGGGCCAGTGGCCCTCACATCCCTGCCCCCCTCACATTACATGGAGCACCCCAGATGACCAGAGAATGTGGGAGACCATTATCCCAATGCATGTCCTGAGATCATTCTCTCTGTGCTTGTCCCGAGGGCAACTTCTCAGAATCCAGGAGCTAGCCTTGCTGCAGCTCTCACTCTCTGGCTGATTTGTTGGTTAGGACCATTGGTGGGGAGCCTTTGGCCCTCCCAATGTTGCTGAACCACAACTCCCATCAGCCCCAGGAATCATGGCCAGTGGCCGGGGATGGTGGGAGCTGCGGTTCGGCAGCAACTGGAGAGCCAAATGGTCTCCACATCAGGATTCGCAAATCTAGGCTCGGGGAGCAAGCTGTTTCGGATTTTCATTCATTCATTTCACCTCAAAGCAAAAAATATGCCTAGCTGAGTTTCTGGATCACAGTGGACTCCATGTAAAAGTTCAGTGGCACTCTGAGGTCAAGATATGCCCGGAAGTCCATTTCTGCTATGTAGGAAGTTTGGGAAACTGTGGTGAGATTCCCAGATTCTCATCTTCTCCCTTTCTCTCTCCTCCTCCAGATTGCTGTGCACACTGTGCTCTTGCCTGCCTCTTCTGTGAGTTTATGTCCCTCTGCTCACTTGCCCTGGACTGCGGGGGCTGCGGGGGCTGCCTAGAGGCTTGCTGTGGTGGAGAAGGAGGGGAGTCCCTTGCCGAGAGCTGCTGTGGGGAAGCCGGTGGAGGAAATTGCCCCTGTGGGTTAGGCTGCGGGATGTTGCAGGATTGCTGCGGCTCCTCTGACTGTCTTGAGATCTGCCTGGAGTGCTGTTCTATCTGCTTCCCAGCCTGATTTCAGGGACCGGGAGATCGTGTCCCTCTGTCCTCCATGGTTCCGGACTGCGTTGGGATGTGTGTATATCCCTTTGGGAATCCTACCCCACCAAACTACAAAGCATGGCAAGAGATTAATCTGGGCCTCTTTTCTTACCAAAGCCTCAACTCCTTTGAACATCCTCAGGCAAACTCCTTCCTCCTTTTTATATCATGGTAACAGCCCAAAACGCATTGCTTGTATGCACACAGCTGGGGCCTGCTGTTTGTATTGGATGGGATGAGGCCCGTTAAGTATTGCTTCAATTGTGTGGTGTCACACTCAGACATTGTGATGATGTCACCAAAAAGACTAAGCGGCATTCGCACTGAAGACAGGATAAATTCCACCCGCACTACAAAATCCTGTCAGGTCAAACCTATTCCTCTACGCACTATAATGTTACAGAAAAATCTGTGCCATGCATTTTCGACAGATGTCACCATGCAACTGTGGATGGAATCTCTCTCCTCTTTTTTTTTAACTGTGACCAAAAAAATTTACATTAATGCTGTGATATATCTGAATGGACTGAGGCTGAATATGCCCCAGAGCCAAAGAAATTCCTCTTCCTATGCTGAATGCCTCCAGGTGACCCACCTTTGAGCATTCATCCTTATTTGTTTGCAGGGAGGTTAGACAAGGTTGGATATTTATTGCTTTAAATATTTTCCATTCCCTATAAACCTTCTGGTTTGACACTCCTCTAATTTTTCCAGTCAATTTTGTTAAAAAAGCTTTTTTTTAATTGCAAGGAAGTTAAAAGGCCTTGCATTTTTTTAAAAAAGTCTTCTCCCACACTTTCCAGTGCATTTTCCTGTCTCTTTCCTAATTCCAAAAAGTCCAGTTGTTTTAGGGAGTGGATGTTGTTGAATAGTGGGTAGACATAGCAGACGACCCAGCGATTCTTCCAAGCAGCTCTTTATTTGTAAGCTAGAACAGAACTGAACAGCAAACAGCTCAGCCGGCCTGCTTTTATAGGCAGCCGGCTGTCAACATTGTAGCAACAACAACCCAGGGTTTCCCGCCTAAAATAACTGACGTGGACCTGAGTGAAAACTACATACACAATACTCCTGGTGGCCAGGGTGAGAACTTCAATACGTAACAGATGTGTTGTGCAAGACCTCCCTGAACTTGCCAGTGTGTGATTGAATCCCACCTGAAAACAGCTATACAGTCTGGAAGTGCCTGATGTGTTTCCGATGTGAACTTTAAATGGACTATAGGCTCCATGACTATTTCTTTGTGCCTGGAAATATATTGTTGTGCTGGTCAGGATGCCTGATTGTAAAATAAATTTAAATTAAACTAATGAAGCCAGCACCTGTTACTTCAGCTTTATTTCTGTACCACCATTGCTTGCCCCCAAAACTCTCACATCTCTTCCCCCCCACTCCGCCACAAGTTATTGTGTTGTTGGGCCTGAGTTGTGTGACTGTAATGTTACAGTCTGGAAGCCAATGTGGTTTCCTCCAGAGGGTATTGGGACTCCTACGCCTAGCCCTGGTTTGGAGGGACACAAAGAATCTTGTAGCACTGTAAATACTAAGCCTTTATGAACTGCAGACTGCTTCCTTCTGATGACAAGTTCCCAGTTCCTTATTCAACACACAGCTACATTATTATATCATCTAAATAGCTCAGTTGATTGGTAGGTAAAGGACCCCTGGACGGTTAAGTCCAGTCAAAGGCGACTATGGGGTTGTGGCGCTCATCATGCTTTCCGGTTGAGGGAGCCGGCGTTTGTCCACAGACAGCTTTCCGGGTCATGTGGCCAGCATGACTAAACCACTTCTGGCACAACAGAACACCGTGACGGAAACCAGAGCACACGGAAACGCCATTTACCTTCTCGCCAGAGCAGTACCTATTTATCTACTTGCACTGGCGTGCTTTCGAACTGCTAGGTAGGCAGGAGCTGGGACAGAGCAACGGGAGCTTACCCCATTGTGCAGATTTGAACCTCCAACCTTCTGATTGGCAAGCGCAAGAGGCTCAGTGGTTTAGACCACAGCGCCACCCGCATCCCTTGGTTGGAGCATGGTGCTGATTCTGCCAAGGTTGAACGTTTGATCCCTATAAGAGATCGCTGCATATTCCTACACCGCAGAGGGTTGGACTATCAGCAGTTCTCAACCTGTGGGTCCCCAGATGTTGTTGGACCACAACTCCCATAATCCCTGAGCTCTGGCCTTGCTAGCTAGGGGTGATGGGAGTTGTAGGTCAACAACATCTGGGGACCCACAAGTTGAGAAAGGCTGGTCAGGCTCCCTTCCAGCTCTATGATTCTGCCCTATGGGCAGCTTGAACAAGGAGCTGAAATTTATATGTGTTGGTATTTTATAATTGGGTTATAAGGAAAAGAATAGATATGGTAAAATAAAAAGGTGAATTGCCTGCAAGCCTAAATCCAGGTTTGGCCCCAGCAGAAATTTAAAATCACAAAACATGCAGCAAAATAAAGCATGGAAATATAGACCGCTAGACCTTTAAAATAGCCTCTTCTAAGTTGCTTCCAAAATTCCCTACTTCCCTTAGCATAGAAAGAGACCACAAGTTTGGTAAGTTAAAAATGGTTTACTTACAAACAAATCAAAGGTCAGATTCAAGTGCTTTTCCATACAGCAGCAACAAAAGGCAGGCAGCATGACTTAGCTTCAAAATGGTAAATATTTCTAAAACAATTGTATAGAAACACAAGGCTTGCTTAAGCTACACAGTTGAAGCTTGGAATATCCAGTTTAGATATCCTTACTGGTAGGGTTCACATAGTGGAAAAGAAAGAGAACAAATAGTTTGGTAATGCTTCCTTCCGAGATGAGGGGGTGTAACCTAGCTAAGTCTGGCAGGACAGCTTTATGGTCTTAACCCCTCATGCATTAATCAGAGTTAAGCCATGGTTTTCCCAGTATAGTTAAAGCCATGGTTTTCCCAGTAGTGATGTATGGAAGTGAGAGCTGGACCATAAAGAAGGCTGATCGCCGAAGAATTGATGCTTTTGAATTATGGTGCTGGAGGAGACTCTTGAGAGTCCCATGGACTGCAAGAAGATCAAACCTCTCCATTCTGAAGGAAATCAGCCCTGAGTGCTCACTCACTGGAAGGACAGATCCTGAAGCTGAGGCTCCAAGACTTTGGCCACCTCATGAGAAGAGAAGACTCCCTGGAAAAGACCCTGATGTTGGGAAAGATGGAGGGCACAAGGAGAAGGGGACGACAGAGGACGAGATGGTTGGACAGTGTTCTCGAAGCTACCAGCATGAGTTTGACCAAACTGCGGGAGGCAGTGGAAGACAGGAGTGCCTGGTGTGCTCTGGTCCAGGGGGTCACGAAGAGGCGGACACAACTAAATGACTAAACAACAACAAAAGGAAAGGCGGGACATTCCAGCATCAAATCAGAATCTGGGACGGCTTCTCTAAATCAGGAACGTCTTTCGAAAATAAGGACACTTGGAGGGTCTGCCAGCCCCATTCCTGTGCCTCAGAGGACCTCATGAGGCTGTGCTTCCTAGTAAGCAGCGGTCAACACCAAAGAAGAGCAAAGATGAGGGCCAGGAGTTCCAGGGAAACACCCCTGTCAATGTAGGGACATCTCTGTTACTGAGACCAGAAGTCATCCTGCTGGTGCAAGAAATTATGCCTGTGCAACACGTTCTCTCCACTGTTGCCTCCCCCTGATTTGCAATGGGGCATCCCTGGCCGTTGAATTTGCAGATTCTGCCCAACAGGATGCCTTTGAATCTGCAAGTTCAACAGCTCCATAGCTCCATAGCAAAGGGGTGTAGCCAGGGGTGGCAGCTGCACCCTCTCCAAATCAAATAAATAAACAAAAATTTATTTTTGTCCAGAGGAGGGCAACCAAAATGGTCAAAGGCCTGGAAAGGATGCCTTATGAGGAAGGGCTAAGGGAGCTGGGCATGTTTAGCCTGGAGAAGAGGAGGTTAAGGGGTGATATGATAGCCATGTTCAAATATATAAAAGGATGTCACATACAGGAGGGAGAAAGGTTGTTTTCTGCTGCTCCAGAGAAGCGGACACGGAGCAATGGATCCAAACTACAAGAAAGAAGATTCCACCTAAACATTAGGAAGAACTTCCTGACAGTAAGAGCTGTTTGACAGTGGAATTTGCTGCCAAGGAGTGTGGTGGAGTCTCCTTCTTTGGAGGTCTTTAAGCAGAGGCTTGACAACCATATGTCAGGAGTGCTCTGATGGTGTTTCTTGCTTGGCAGGGGGTTGGACTCGATGGCCCTTGTGGTCTCTTCCAACTCTATGATTCTATAAATGCTTAACTAATTGACCAATTGTGTTGCAGATAACTCGGTTCTGCCCCCCCTCCCCAAACATAAAGCTTGCCCCTCCAAAAAATTCTGGCTATGCCCATGAACACAACACTGAAATTTAATTTTGTTGCAAGAACCTTTTGTAAGCCGCTTTGAGAGCCTCTCCCTTCCACAACAAGCCTCTGCTCCCAAGGCACAGCAAGCAAGAGAGAGCTTTCGGATGCCAGTCCCTAGACTAGAGGCTTCACCTCTCTTTTCCAATGGACTCTTGACTATGGTAGTGTAATAAATGAAAATCTGCCCTTATTCCCTTATGGGGGACACAAGAGCCCTTATAGAGTCCTTTGCAGGTTCTCCATTGGTCGGAGAAAATAATAGAGGCCAACCAGAGAATACTGAGAAGCGAAGCAACTAGTAAGCCTGGTCTTTATTGATCTGTTGCAACAGGGTGCTCCCCTCACACGCAGGAGAAGGAGGAGGACCCTGAACCAAGGTGTGCCCGCCCTTATATAGACATTTTAAATTGCCCACCCTGGAGTCCAAGACCACCCCCAGAAACATCATAAATACATCACAGAAGGGGTGTAGCTCTAGGCTACCCCCCAGACACATCATACCTACATCACAGAAAGGGCGGTCTACAACAGAAATCTGAGTGCATTGTTCACCTCCTGCCTGGCAGGTTACCTATTAATGCTTACTTGATTGGAATACCCTGGGGAGCCTGGCCAGTCTTTTTTAATGATAAATACTTAGTTCCTGAGCCAGGTCACAGGCTCACCCTATTCATACACAGACAGGATTTGTGAATGAAAAGACAATGGGGAGGCTTTTCCATTTTCCTTGACCTTGCAGAGAAATCATTTGGTCAGTTTGGGAGTCAAAATGGTTTCAGGGCTGTTTTCCTGTGCTGCTTCAGACATGTGGTTGATATATTTATGTACGTGTTTGCTTGGTACATTTATGAACATTTATTATATATATAAGACCTTAATTTTTTTATTTCACTAGCAATTGGAGTTATTCCTATGTGAAGCTTGAGAAAAATAAGTACATTGACTATGGGTGATATGATCACCTTAACGCTCTTATTAATATCGTCCGTAAAACAGCCACAGTTGGGCTTATTATATACGAAACAATTACGGTACTTCTCTTCCTTGTCAGTTGCTGCAATCTCAGATCAGGATGCAGAGCTTTGCTGCCTCTTGCTGGGCGAATGAGAGCATGGCATTCTGATGGAGGCAAAGGCCTTTCTACACAGAGCTCACTTAGTAACCCTCAAAGGGTCACGCCATCTCAAAATTCATTTTTGGGGTAGGAACCACACAAAGTTTCTAACGACCAGGTGACATGCTGTTTCCCCCGGAGCTAAAATCTGCTTTCCAGCTAATGCAAAAAGGCTTTCTAAATTGATTACATGTGAATTTGCCATATCATGTTTCCTCCCCCCGCCCATCTCTTCACTCCTCCTCTGGCTGTGAGGGATCTTAGGAGGAAGGCGGATTTGTCACCACTGTCCCCCAAAATCTGCCATGTAGCAGATTTCTAAATTTGCCTAATGAAGGGACATTTTATCATGCTTGGTGGACCTGTTTTTTAAAAAAGCTTTTTTAACAAAATTGACTGGAAAAATTAGAGGAGTGTCAAACCAGAAGGTTTATAGGGAATGGAAAATATTTAAAGAATATTTAAAATCGTACTGCATGAACAATAAGATACTTGCAGAAATAGAGCGATACTGGTAAGCAAGAATTAGATAAAATATAATATTGGATTATATATATATATATATATATATATATATACACACACAATGGTACCTTGGGTTAAAAACTTAATTCGTTCTGGAGGTCCATTCTTAACCTGAAACTGTTCTTAACCTGAGGTACCACTTTAGCTAATGGGGCTTCCTGCTGCTGCCGCGCCGCCGGAACACGATTTCTGTTCTCATCCTGAAGCAAAGTTCTTAACCCGAGGTACTATTTCTGAGTTAGCGGAGTCTGTAACCTGAAGCATTTGTAACCCGAGGTACCACTGCAATATGAATCTGTGCAAGGAATACATATTATATAAGTAGT